AATGGTGATGTGAATGCTCTTAGAGAATGTTTTATGCACATGCTATCTGCCATTCATATGTGCATTTATTTCATTTGAGTGTTAGCATAATTTAGTTAATGCTGAGCCCATTTTTCACAGAAAATCGTCAGAAAAAATAGTGTATTAGCTGAGAGTTTGTCGGAGACCCAGATGCTTTACATTGATTCCAGAAACGTCATTCGTAAGCTGACTAATGGTTTGAGGACTAAAAAGAAGCAAGCTCCGTAGGGCATGGCTTGTGGCACCAGGCTCTGTTCTGCTGTATGGTTTTGTTGTTAATTGTTTGCATTTTGTTCCATCTTATGCAGGCTTTATCACAGAAGAGGGTTTCTCAAATGATTTCATTTTGCCAGCAAGCATTGATGGAGAGGCACAATGCTGAATGAAGATGTACTGATTAGCAGATGTACTAATCTTACAGAAGCTGAATTTAAATTCTTTGTCATTTACTTTAGTAGGTCTGATGTTGCAGCTCGCCATGCAAAATACGAATGTGGTATTTGTAGCCTACTTCTGTCAGCAGTCCGTGTACTGCACCCAGGAAGGAAGGTTGCCACGTGACAGGAAATTCTGAACTGAGTTGAAATGAGACCAAATATGTGTGCGTGCTGTGTGATTATCCTGTCTTACCCTGCAGATGTTGGTCATTTAAACATGTAGTTCTCTGACCCCTCCGTGTGCCTGCTGCCTGGCTCTACTCTAGAGGAAGCGCTATTTCCTTCACACTTTGTGTTTTATGAAACAGTATCTTCTTTCATTTGCTTTTGCTGGCTGTAAAAATCAGCTAGGGAGACCTGGTTGTCGTATGATAGTGCCACCTAAACGCAGTGTGTGAGACTGTTAGGTGAAAAAGAAGTAAAAATACGCTGCAAGTCTACTTTGCCTAATTAGTGTGTTACAGCGCTGGAGATGTGAAGCTTCTTTTAAATGTGTTGGGCATATTATCAGAATATAACTGCAATATCAGCATGTTTTATGATAGCCTCTAATGATCAGTTGTGTAAGCAATTGCTTTTGTTAAAGAAATACCATATTTAAAAAAAAATTATAATCAGAAGGTGATTATCCTTAAGATAAATGTCATAAAAAAGGTAATGTTCAAAATTACCCAGGTGAGTTTTGTTTACTAATTTACAATTGAAACAGCAATTCACATACCATGTTTGTTTTGTCTTTCTTGTCTATGAAATACATTATAAATATTTACTGTTAAGTGCTAAGTGAAAAGCATGGAATATGATCCTTGTTAGCCACTACCAGCAATTCTTCTGTGCTATGGAGTATGTTTAGATGCCACAAAACCAGAGAAGGCATTTCTACTCTAACTGCCTAAATCAAGCAGCCTGTTTCTACTTTTACTAATGCTACTGGCATAATGCTGTTGAACTCGTGGATCTTTGCATTAGTTTAAGAAAGGCACAGAGCCTAGTGATGTATTTATGTAAAAACAAATGGAAACAAGTGGAAAGTGGTATTTCTTGAACCTCTGTGTCCTAAATTCTCTGAGTTTGTTTCTGCTGGAGCCTTTCTGCCTTCAGGTTCAGCGTCCCTGACCTTATTTCAGCCGATGGCTGCCTGTTGAGATGCTGTCACTTGTCCTGATCAGCTGGGTGGTCAGTTCTTGCCCAGCGATTGCCAACAATGGCCGCTCAAAGGGTGAGAGTGTGCAGGTATTGTAGAGGACTTAGCATGTTGGAACATTTGGTGGTGCTAGGAGGGCTTAAACCATACATACAGCACTTCTTCCAATGAATTAGTAGGTCTTACCTGGAATATCCAGCTTTATTTTTGCTCTTAAAGTTTTCTGAGAATTATGTAAGCTGTTTGGTGCATTAAAACTGGATTGTGTTACATGAGGATATGAAAATTGCTGGCTCAGATTATTAATGCTACATACAACCGAGAAGATTGCCAGAAGTCAGAGAGAATATGTTGGAGATTGCTGTTACCAGAGGGTTTGGCAAGGTATCAAAATGAATGCTGTAAATATGGCATAACTGTGATGATAAAAATATCTGAGCCAAAACACTGCGCTGTATATCAGTGCAAAGCATGTCTCACCACAGTAAGGCAATGTGCTCCATGGAGAGGTGACTTATTTATGGAGAAGGCATAGCGATAGGCATGATGCTGAAGAGACAGATCGGGGGGAGCCTTGGTTTTTAAACTATCAATGAGCTCTACTGAGATGCAAATTACTGTTTGTTTTGTCTCTGCTGACAGGTATTGCATTTTTACCTTTGTTATTTTTTTGTTCCTTCTTCAGCATTGCCAGGGCAGGGGGAGGTTCATGTCAAAGGTCATATCTTCTGGAGTTGGTGCTGAAAAAAGACCAGTTGTGTAACAGCCTTAGCTGGATTTACACTGTTATGTAATGTCAAAAGCATTAGGAATGTGAATGCATTCTCCGTTGTCTTCCTTGCTAGTGGAAAGACTGGGGAGGATGTTGGTGTTATGGGATTTACAGAGAAAACACAATATTGGTTGGAATGCCAAAATCGGTGGTGTTTCAGCCAATTCCCAGAAAGTGTGTTCTGACCAACATAATGCTCAGAAATATATAGGGGACTGTAGTGTTTCCTCATTAAAGTCGGGTCTGTCTGCTGTTGGGGCTTTTGGAACTATTAACAGTTCTATGCAGTGTGAAGAACGTGCAGCAGAAAGGTGAGCCATGGAGATGATTTTCATGAAGCTAAATAGGCCTGTGAATAAAATGAACTCCAAGGTGTCTTTTTCAAACAATTAGTTCCGAAGGTTGTCTGCAAAGTATTTTACAAGGTATGGTCAACCTGTACATGAATAGGTTTTGCTACCATAATAGGACAATAATAGTAAAAGGACCTTTTACACCTGGAAGACAAGCCTTGGACTTCATTTTGTCATCAGCAAAAATTCCCCTTGTGCTGAATGGTTTAGGAAACTTCTCTGTTAGGAAAATGTCAAAAGAGTTATATGCAATAATGTAGGCATTTTAAGAAATGCCTATATATGTGTATATACACGCACACACACAACTATTAGAATCTTTGGGTTTTTTTCCCCATAGGCAACACTTTTCAAAAAGCTACATGCTCATAGTTTGTCTGAAGCATCATTAATATCAATTTTAGGTTCTCATCCCACTCCAGTTTATGTGAGTTTGTCCGTTGACAGCAAGAGAATGACAGAGCTGCTAAGCTAGGTAAACTAAAGAATGAGGCCTCAGTGAAATAAGAACACTGCGAGGTTGCAGTGTCCAGGGATGGGGGCACCAGGGCTGAGAAGAAAAGAGATCCAGTGAAAACAATCTTTTCAGTGGTCTTTGTATTCTGCCAGAAGAAGTAAAACGGGCATCAGCAGTGCTCCTACCTTTCTAATTATAATTTGTGCTCTTTCTGTCACTGCTGCAACGTTTTAGCCCTTGTTGCCTTTCAACATTGCGCATGTGATTCATTCAGCTTATCTAACTCTGTTTTTCTAGGAGGTATGTTACCGTGGTCTAAGTTGCTCCCTGTAGCCTGCCTTGCTGTCAGTGAAAAGAGACAAGCACCTTCCCAGGAGGAACCCTTTCACTTGGCAGTTTTAGAACTTGTTAGGTCGGTCGTCTGTAAGAGATTTTTTTGGCGTAGGGACATAAAATAAAAAGTATTTGTTTGGGGAAAAATTAATTGTTGATGGACTATTGTCTGAAAGAACAGAGCATGACTTGGCATCTGCCTTCTAACCTGTGGTTTGTAAAACACAGTCCTCAACACAGCACTTTGAGCAGTAGGTACTGGTAGGTATGAAAGGGCACTATGTAAAATGTGATGTGCCGTATTGCAAATGTTAATCTTCTCTTATTTTCCCTCCTGCATCCACAGAGTTTTATTGCTTTCATATACCTAAAAGTAAGAAGAAAATAGTCTGTTTCAGGAATTAGGCAGTGGGGGTTTTTTTTATTAATCTCCAGTGTATTTTGGTACACATTTGCAGTCTCGCAGATTTTTGTTCAAAGGAGAAGTAGAATCAGTGGAACTGTATTTCTGAATTTTTCATGATCATTTCTTCAGTTCTTGCCTGCCAACGCACACCACAGGATACAGTCTGATTATAATGTGCTCTGCTTTTGTTACTAGGTCAGTACTTCTAATTCTGAGCTTGTCTGCGTCACGGGGAGTATCAGATAATTTACTCGGAAGGAAGCCTCTGCCATGCTCAGAGTTAGTTTACTCAGCAAAAAAGCATCTGTGCAGAAATTCTTATTGATTACTCTGAGAATGCAGCTTAACTGTACTGAAGGGTCTGTGTGGGTCAGAGCATATATTCCAGACCAGTAAATTAGGATGATTCTGTGTTTGAGTGTGTATGCTATACCTTAAACGACTGACTTCTAAAAGGATCCAGCGCTGTTAAGAATATGTATTCACTGCCTAGATTTTTTCATCTTTCTTTCTCTGTCTCTCCCAAAACCTTCTTTCTTTAAAGAAACTCAAAAGTAAAACTGTAGCGTATGGAAACAGATTTGATCAATTTTGTCTCATTTGACATCAATAAATCATTTTGAAGTGCATCTTTTAAACTCTGCTCTTCCATGCATATACATTTATCTGTCCTGATTCTTTTCTACGCTTTAGACAGTGGATTTTACTACCAAGTAAGTGTCTATTTCAGGAATGTAAATGTGAATTGACAGAGAATGTATCAAACAGGTATTCAAAAAATCACTGCATTCTACTTCTAAACAGCTTGCGCTGACCCACTCGAGGGGTGTTTTCTGCAAGGGGGAGGGACGCAGTGAAGGATTGCCCTGGAGAGTGTTTTGCTCACATTAGGATTAAACTGCACTTGGGAAGCTGTGCAGAAGCGGGCATCTTTGACATTTGTTACTGCGTTTCTTAACCTTTCAGAGGATGTGACTTTAAGATGTGGAAATAAGGGAAAAAGCAGTTAATTGCAGAGGATTCTAGCCTCTCCTTTTTAATACTTATGACTCTCTCTGTTCTATTTTTTGTTTCCAGTTACAAGAAAACACATGAGACCCTGAGCCATGCAGGACAAAAAGCAACAGCAGCTATCAGCAATGTGGGAACTGCTATCAGCAAGAAGTTTGGAGATATGAGGTATAGGGATCTACTGCTTCTCTGGTCTGATATTGAGGACAGAAAGTATAAGTCATGTCAGCTCTATTCCTTTTACTTTAGTGTTTTAAAGGTTCAAGTACTTTGTAGTCAGAATTTTATAACATTCATGGTTTCAACCAAATAGGGATAACGATGAATGAAGAGATTAATCTTTTTTGAGTCCTGGTTTAAAAAAAAAAACCTGTGATTTGAAATCCTTTTGGAATAACTTTGCAAGCTCAAGGAAATATACAAGTAAAATGGAACACAAAATTGCTGTTAGATTTTTATTAACTCAGTTTTATTCATATATGGATTCTGGAGACCAACATCATCAAGCCTTGTAGCTGCTTGTGGAAAGATAAATCAAAAAAATGTCAGGCTTTTTCTTTCAGCAGCTTTTTTGAGATGTGCAAAGGCAAAGTTTTGTTCTGCAGTTTTATGTATGAAAAAAGGTATAATGAAAGTAACACGAGTTGAGGTCAGGAGAACCGTCCCTTAAATGCAACTTAAATGTCTTTATATGCTGATGTATGTTTAAAAGTGTTGGTCTTAAAAGTTCCTCAGAATGAAAGCATAAACAAAGAAATTGTACACTGTAAACCAGTACTTCAGTTTTCAGCTTGGTAGCAGGATCACAGAACTTTCAACTTCCTTTCAGGTGACTTAGGGAATTGATTTTTTGTGATGAAATATAAGGACAAGGGTAAGTGCAATATATTGTTTGAGCTGCAGAATTAGGGTCTTATGTATTAGACATACTGGTATGTACTCACTTCTTTGGTCATTTTTTTTGAGTATGAGGTAACCGTATCCTAAGATCTGTGTAACTCCATTTTACAGTATTTCAAATATATATATATATATATGTATATTTTTTCCCTCTACAAATGGCTGAAGTATAATTCTTGGCAGCTAAAACTTTTTTCTACTTTTTTACTTTCAATCTGAGTCTTAAGAAATCTTTAGAGTCCCTCGTTTTTACCTACCTCTTACAGCTTGATAAACCCGTTACGGAAGTTCTACAGGTTTTCGAGGTGAAACTAAAAAAGGAAAATGTTCATCACTGTATGATCTGCTTTACAATGTCTTTTTCCACACTGCAGTTTAAAATGGTAATCTAGCGAGTAACTTGCAACCAGGGTATGAACACAAACTAAGAATTGTTTGACTCGATACAGTTAAACATCCATAGTATATGCCTAGAAAAGGATGTAAGAATAAGGAGGCATGCAGCTACATTTTCCTAGTACATATTTTTAGCATTCAGCAATCTGAGAGCTGAAAACTTTCTAAAACAAAGGTTTGAGCTTTCATTTAAAAGTCTTTTGAAGGGTTTTTCTTCATGAATTAATTTTTTTCTTTCATAAATTTATTCTAACTTGTATGAGCTTTTGACATTTGTAACACATGTCTCCCCAGAGAACGAATGGTTATGTGGTAAAGAAGTGTGTGGTTTATTTGTTCATTCATTCCCTGTTTTGGGTCTCCCTGGCCTTTCCTTTGATGCCTTCTGGCTCTGCTGTTGTGAGGAACAGTGAGCGTAGGTCCCTCTGCTGTCCTTCGCACCACTCATGACTTCCGATGGTTCTATCGTATTTCACTGCAGTTTCCTCTTTTCCAGGCTGAGGCTGCAGTCGCATGAGTTGCTTTCACAAGCCTTTTTCCTTAGTTCCTTTTTCTTACTGCCTTCCCTGCATTCATAGCTGTATTGGGTGTTCTTGAGAAAGGCATGAGATGGGTGTGCTGCATGTGGCACCCACACATCCTCTGCGTCTCTTTCTGTTCTTTCCTAATGTTTCCTCCTGTAAGAAAGGCAAGCCCACTGCTCAGTGAACGGGTCCTGCTGCTTCTTCCGTGCTTTAGATCCTGCAGCAGTGAGCAGAGAGTTGGTGTGCAAGTACCTTGAACACTGGCTCTTGGTCACGGAGGGGAGGATGACTAACAATTCAGTGCTTCTCAGGCCCTGTTGCTTGTGCTTTGACAGGGCGTGAGATTGACTGCAAAGGCAGGTATGTCTTTGCATGTTTTTCCTTCAATATTTCCCTTAATTAATCGCAGTTACCAAATTCCTTTGTCTTACTGGTTGGTATCAGTCCCCACCTCCATGGTGATCATGCTTCTGACTAGCGCTTGGAAAGCGGCTGGGTGGTATCTATCCCATTAGCCGAGGACTCAAAGCAGAGGCTAAATCCACAAGCATTTTGATTAATCAAGAAGCTTGTTTCTAGTGGCTTTCTTTGATCAAAATTATTACATTGAACGTGGTTGGGAATTTTCCAGGAAAATATGAACTACTGTCCTGCCATTTTTTGTGGATTGTTACTCTTTCTTGACACTTGATGGTGAAGAAGCAAGCAGTATAGCCAGTATCCCATATTTGCACAGCGCGTGGCATGACTTGGCCCTTCCCTATCTGCTGAACATCCTCAGTCTGGAGTGATGGTCAGTATGCTTCCCTCAGCAACAAAGCTGGCCGAAGATCTCTGCTCCACCCGGGCAGGTGCAGTTCTGTGTGGGGTCACAGTGTTAAACCTTATCACTTCAATGACCTGGTTTTAAAAATCTTCCCCTCTCTCACTCCAATGCCAGCCATGTTTGGGGGAGTAAGCTTGTACAGGGGCGTGCATTCTTTGTTTCATTGTTTGCTTGCTTTTTTGCTAATCCAAATGGTTTTATTTCAGTGATCTAGTATATGGATTATCACCGCCCACTCCCATAATGCTGATTTAAACACATCAGGCTCTGGCTTAATTCTCTGGTTAGGCATTAAGTCTGATAGTCACCAGTGGCATCCAGATGCAAATCCCTGTTTTGCTTTCATTCAGAGCAGACACTTGAAACTGATTTCTGAAATTCAGACGATCATCATAATTCCCAGTATGTTCAGCAGTCTGGAGTGTTTGTCTTCTACACCCCTGCTCTTGGTGGTGGTTATTTGAAAGGGCTTCTAGTCAGCCTGACTCTAAACATTGAAGCCTGCCTGCCTTGTGAAACAAAATTCTGCTTTCCAGGTGCCTGCTATGGCAACTGTACGGACCACCACATAAAACACATCTATTAATTAAGCCCCTGAACATACAGGGGCTTAATTAATAACCTGAAAGATATTTCATCTTGTACAGGCTCTGAAAATATTTAGTAAAATATCATATATCAGCGATAGGTCAGATAGACTTCCCCAAATGTGCTATTCTGCTGTGTTAGAATTCAAGAAGATGAAATCTACAAAAAGGAAAGAAAAATGACAAAATCCCATGTGTCTTAAAGAACAGAGAAGCCACCCCTTTGGGGAAAAGTGCTTTTCATGTAACTGCTGTGCTTCTCTTTCATCCCCACCCCAGCTTCCCAGTGTCACAGCTCATTCATTTTGTGCATGAATTATCATTAGCATTTTACATCTTCTAAATTTTGGTATTCATTATTAGTGGTTGTAAGGTCTCTTTGTAATTGTAACGCATTCTATTTAATATTATCATGTTACTAGAAATACCAGGAAAGCATACAAAGCCAGTATAGACATACTTTTGCTTTGGGATACAAACCAGGCACTAGTAACACAGCTAAGATAATAGATTCTTTGTGAATCGCCCTTGTGATTAGTGATATGCCATCAGGATTTTTTTTGTTGCCCCTCCAATTCCTATTATCTCCTTTAACATTTTCTGACATGTAGAAGGAAGGGAAAGGGGAGGAGGGGTGTCCCACGTCACTCGTCGGGAAGTCGCGTGGCTCACGTCTCCGAGAAGCAGCGGTTAGGCTGACATTCAGCATGGCTCTTGCCATGCAGAGCACAGGTGTGATACGGAGTGCAGGGTATTCATCCCTCGCTCCTTTGCATCCTGGCAAAGTTTGGATCTTTTCATGCAGTGCGGCTGTCCGTGTGGATCTGAGGGTTTCAGCCCTGCTGATGGCCTTTTTAGAAACGAGGTGTGATACCGAGCAGGAGACTTCCTGATATTTTTGTTTGCTTAAAAAAAAAATATTTAAAAAGGAATCGATGTACACTACACTACTGCGTGTACTCTACCACATACATTACTGCCACGCAAGAAAATGCACTTAAAGATTAAGCTAACAAAGGCATGCATGCAAATTAGGATGTCAGCAGTTCTGCTGCTCATACATCCTTCATTCAGCTGTCTCGCTCGTTTTCTCTAATTGCATGATCACACAGACCCCTTTCAAATTCAGTGCCTGGGATGAGCCAGCTCTAAAGATGAATAAAGGTAGTATTTTGCTGTGTTAGAATTCAGGTAGATGAATTCCTGCCGGGAGTTAGAAGGCACTTGTGGAAAGAGACAGAAGACTGTAGGGAGGGACAGCTTGGGGACATGACTGTAGGAGTTGAATGCGCCCCTCAGAGAGAACGGGAATCAGCACAGGAGGCACATGAGGTTCCAGAGGGGTGGAAGAAGGCAAAGTTCATCCCCCTGGAAAAAGGCAAGGGCAGTTGTGGAAAATACAAAGCAGATACTGCAGGAGTGCATGAAGCTGTTATTTTCTAATCATCTAGAAGATAGCATGATGGCAAAAGCATAGAAGAGTTTGTCAAGAACTATTATTGTGAACTGACAGCACCTGTCACAGAGGACAGGGGGGAGGCAGGAGATGTGCTAGAGCTTGACTTCAGTAAGGCTGTCCATACTGGTTTTGCTCCTGTAAGTGACCTAGAGAAATACAGCTGAGGTGTTACTGCCTTAGCAGGAAGAGGGCATAGAGAGTTGAAAATGATTTTTAAAGCACAGGTCCCAGCAGCTCAGCATAATGCAGGATTTTCCAGGCAAGTGACCGGAGTTTGTTACTCTTCAGCATTTTCGTTACAGGTTTAGATGATGGCATCATGTGTACACTTGAAATCCCCAGATGACTGCAGTGGGAGGGAATGCAAGCACTTTAGACAGCAGGATCAGAATTCAAGTTTATTTTAAACGACAAAATAAAATTCAGTGTGGGAAAGTGTAAGGTGCCTTGTTGACAGGTGGTTAAAAAACCCAAAAAATCAAAAAAAAACACCCCAAAAAAAGGCAAAGCAGAGATGTGGAGCACTGACCAGCCAGCTGGGCAGTGGCTTTGCAGATTAGGGCCTAGCAAGTGCTAGGCTAGTGGCTCAGGAATGCAGCAGGAGTCAGTGCTGGCATAGCCATTACATGCTTAATTCCATCAAGTGTTGCGGGAATGTTGTCTATAAGGTTCGGGAAAGAATTGCTCTGCTCAGCTCTCATACTCGGAGTACTGGGGCTGGTGAAGGGCACCACTTTTTGGAAGGGTGTGCAGATGAACTGGAAGGAATGGGGAGAAAAATTTTAAAAATTTAAAAATCAGCTTCAGAAAATACAAGCAGTGAGAGTGTTTGAATGAGTTGGCTTTTAGGCTAAGCAAATGTGGCTAAATAATGAACGGAGAGGGAGGATGAGATATCAGGAAAAGTGTTTGGCCATAAAGCTGAACAGGGGCACAGGTTGTTTCTGAAGGCTCTGAAATCTCTGTCATAGGAGGTATTTTGAAGCAGGTTAGGCCAATATCTGTTGGAGATGGCTCAGGTATAATTAATCCGCTGTAGTGCTGTGGGTGTTGATTTTTGCTGTGTATTGTTCTGCCTTTTCGGGGTGTTTTTTGTGTTGTGGTGGAGATTTCGCACAGCCTTTTGCTGTGCATTTCCAGGATATCTGTGATCTAGGGATGACCTGGGAACTTAAAATTGTTGCTGAACTCACTGGGAGATGAATTCCTTGAACTGTTGTAGCTGTCGTACCCCAGACTACCATTTTTAAACCTCCGTCTTGGTCATGTCCCCTCTAAAGCAAATAGTACATTGTCTTGCTTCAGAATGTAATTCCATAAGCGTTTCTTTTGCTGATGGGTGAAGCAGTTGTTTTCTCTCATTTCTAATGACAGTGCCCACTTCCTTTGTGCTGCTTTTTAGAGCTGCATCATGAAGTTAAGCCTTCAATAAGCTTCAAAGCCTAAAACCACAGAAACAAAAAACAAATTACAGTGACTCAGGAGGGCTATAGAGGAATACTTCTGTATTAATCAGTGGGAACACAGATTTCCTTATCATATGGCTGTGAGAGTATCTACGAGCATGGAGAATGGGGTGTCTCTTACTGGGAGTCAGCAGGTAGTACAAGGAGGCTTCATATGGCAAGGGTATTACATAATCTGGTGTAAGCAGGAACGTGTTGTGAAGATAAATCCATGGATGTTTGAGAAGCACCAGTATACATGATGATGATATGTAAATCAGTGCTTTCCGTCAGAGCAAGGTATGAATGTTGTGCAGTAAATAATGCACCACACTGCATTGAAAAAGGATGCAAAAAGTACATACTGAAGAGATGCTCATTAAGTGTGCACCATCTCTCTGGCTCACCGCGTGAGGCAGGTGTTCCCTTGAAGTGGTCTGTAATTAAAGACTGCATCAATAACGCACAGATGAAAGAGAGGCTGTCTGCCTCATCGTTTCTCGACTGCGGATCCTTAATGACATCCTTTAAATATTGTATGTCAGTGTGCATCTCCCAGTTCTGCCACCTTAATTAAGTTTCTTGTGAGCTGGAAAACAGCGTCGAAGTGTTTCAAGTATTGTTTTCAACAAGGAAGAAGTATTTTAGAGAATGTCATTTTAGGAATTAAAAGCCCCTTATTTTTTCCATACTTTTCTCAACCTAGAGATGTGATGAAGAAATCTGCGGGCGGCAAGACCTTTGCTGCTGGCATACACGTACAATTCCAGTTCACCTAAACTTTAATGAGATTAAGGTACGATTTGGGGAGGGAAATCAGTTAGCATTGTTTACATCTGATGTCATGAGGAGAACACGAAATTTAGCAGACAGAACTCCCGTTCTGCGTTGCACACACAGTAGGCGACTGCATAGTGAAGGAGTGGGTGACTGCTTGTGCTTTGAAGGAATCTTGCCTGATCCATGTCCTAGTGTGAATTCCAGCATCAAGGTTTGAATGCAAGTGATTGTATTTTTCTTCTTGGGTCGTCTGACATGCTACAGATGTACATACGTATTTTAGTTACGTTTTCATAATACTTCTAACTTTTGCTTTTCTTTCCTCATGCATCCACCACAGATCGCATTCAATTGGGTAAGACATGTTACTCTCCTTGAATACTGCCTCTGTATGGGATTTCTTTTATGGAATGTAATGCAGTAACCGCTTTCCTTTCAGCATTGTTCTATTTGATGAAAATATATGCTCCTTAAACTGTAATGCCTCATTTTTACAGCATGGTGAGTATAATGAGAAAGGACTGGACTAAGTGTTTGCCTTGCTCTTGAGTAGATTAATCTCAAATTCAAATAATGATCACATACAAAAGGTGTTGCTCTTAGGAAAACCTATTAATACATAATACCGTTTTCTCAACCATCTTTTTCTGTCAGAGGTTGGAACATAAACAGCAAATGTTCAGTAAAAATTCTATTCAGCCTGCAGAGTTTTGTAAAGACTGTACAAAGAATTTAATTACCTCCTCTTCAATAAAGCAAAAGTATATTAGTCATGAAGTGTTCACAGTCACTCTTTAAGATTCGTGAGTCCCGGGGAAATTTTCAGCAGTAGGCCAAGTTCTTAACACAATTAAAAGGGTTCTTTATATTCAGAGCTTGAATGTATTGATGCTGTAAAGCACTTCAGTATACGATGAATTATAAAACAAATTTATGTGTGCTGAAAGGTTCTGTAAGTAGTCTGACTTTACATCAGTTGATCCAGCAGAGGGGCTGAACAGCCCCAAACCCCCTGCAGTCCCTCCAGCCTTGTAGCATCGGCAGTGCACCGGACAGCTCAAGAACAACTTTTCTGTTTGGCTGAGTAATCCTAACATGGACTCTTTCTTCACTGAGAAAGCTTCAGAATGGGGCATAGATTGACCTCTCCATCTCACTCTGACATGAAACCAAAATGTAATGTTTAGCAACCTTTGTCAGGAAGGATTTCTGTTCTCTGCCTGTGTGCTGATCGCTGTCACAGACATGTGTCTTTAAAAAAGCTTTATGTTTTAGGCTTCTAGTAAAAGATGTCACAGTTCTTATAACTTGTGTCCTTACCTCTTTAAAGGAATGAACAGATGAACTCAGTGAAATGTGCGCTTTGTATTTAGATTGTCTGTCACATGCCATCTCTCAGCTCTGTGAATTTAATTTGGGCCAATGTAATCTTATTTGGACCTTCGTATTTGGACTGTTTTCCTACTAGGAGAGGAGCAGCCTATGCTGAAATACTTCCAAATTGTTATTTTTGCCTATTTGTCATGTGTTACAAGACTAAAATGGCAAGCATGCTTGTTTAATTTAAGTAGGATTGTTAAAGATTTGCTGCACTTGTGAAATGTTTGGGCTAATCTTTCATAAGTCTTAAAAATGACGGGAAAAAATGAACATGAAACATTTGCATTGTCTGCTGTCAGTTCTTGTCCATCCGAGCTTAGCAGAAGCCTTAAAATACACACACCAGCAAACAGTTGGTATAAGATCTCTGCCCTACCTGCTTGCCAAATAGCTCTTTCCTCTCCCTGCCCCCATTTCTGCATCTTGATCCTGGGAAAATAATAAATATGTGGGCGTGTAGACACAGCACCGCTCTGAATTTGTATAGTTTAGAACAAACGCACGTGCTGTTTATATGAGAGCGTTCATGTTTTAATGCTGCAATCGTGCTTTGCTTGGTTGCAGCCAAACGTCAGTGTCCCTTAAAGTTCTCACTGTTCTCAGTCAGACCAGGCCGCAGCTGTCAGTCTCCTCTGAAAGTAGCCGAGGATGAATTTTTGAACCAATACATACTGTGGCAGTGCACAGTTTACGTAAAATGTTCTGATGGAAACATGCTTACGGACAGTTCTTACACTTCAAATGAAGGTTCGTATTCCGAACAGGCCTGATGCTTCCCAGCAGTCGGAGCAGGTGATGCTGTGAGAGCGGAGTTGGCCGGGGTGGGAGGATGTGGCTAATGTAAGTAGGTCAGGCGGTTAGGGTGAGCAGCCATCTGCAAGGTAGAAGGTGTGCAAGGTGATTTGGGGGTCTCTGAGTGACACAGCGGCTCTGTCCTCCACGTGCCAACCTTCCAGTACTCTTGCTGCTGGGAAGCCTGAGGAGGGAAGTGTCTCAAGGAGAGCTGAACGAGAGCTGCGGAAAACAGCTTCCTACCCTTGGTAGTGTTGAGGTGTGAAGGAGGAGGTGAAACCTCCTAGAGGGATGGGGACGGCAACTGCTGCAGCTGAGAGCTGCCTCTCAGGTTGCAGAAACCCACTGTTCAGGTAGTGGGTTGTGCAGGAGCCTGTGCAAACTGGGTGGCCAGCACGGGCTGTTTGGACTGTGCGTGCAGCAAAGGCAGGCAGTTGCCTTACTTCCCTACAAACTGAGGCCTACTTAGCACAAACCTGAGGCGTGCTGCGCTCAGAGAGCTTGTCGTCTGTCAGTGCGGAGCGCGGAGGTAGCTCTCCATTCCCTGTCGCATGTTGTCTCTGTCATTTCGGTGGGTACTGTCAGGAGCTGTTCCGCAGCATTCTTTGGAGCGCTACTGAACTGCTGACATGAGAATGTGTTGGGAAGGTCTTCAGGGCTGAAAGTGAGCTGGAATTCACAGGTGAGTTCGACACGCTGTTGCCACCAGGAGAGGAAGCGTACCAGCGCTCTTGAAAATACATGTCTAAAGTCAAGTTAAAAAAATTAAAATGGTATGTTGTAATCATGGTGTAAACTGGATTTTACAGCTTTTTTTCCTTTTGTTTTCATCCCACAGTTACTCTATTCGCCATTCCATCAGCATGCCTGCGATGAGGTAATATGCCACCCATATTCTGTTTGCTATGGTGATGGTCAGCAGTGTAATGAGGAGGGATTTGCATGCTTTGATCCTGATCCTTCAGTTTTTAGTTGGATGAATAGTCCCACTTAAATCAATTAAGGTTATTCATGTAGATAAGGGCTGCAGGACGGGCCATCTGTGGGTTTTTTCCTTTTAATTGTATTAACTGTTAAATCCCTTGTACAAGCCTCAGAGTAAACGTAGCAGTTCTGAGATGCATTCGGGTAGCTGATTGTTATCAGGTTTGTATTACTGAATCTGAAATTCAGTTGTTTTGCTGTCTCTAGAACATCATCCAAAGCCCATTACCGCCAGAGATGCTTTCCACTCCAGCAGGCTTTGGCTCATGCTCCTATGGAGGGATTTTATATGAGTCCTTTCATATTTTAATGGCTATAATCATGCTTTACTTGACTGCAGCCAAATATTGATGTCTGTTCAAGTAAAGCTCTGACTGTTTTCAATAAAATTAGGATCCAGCTTTTTTTTTCCGCTGTAAATACATGAATATCCCCACTCCCTGCCAAGCACGTGGGGAAAACAAATCTTCTAACTGTGGGATGGATGCTAATTCATTCAGCTTCAGCAGGTGGATAGTTTAAGGCAAGCATTCACCGGTGTGACCTGTGGGTCAAGTGTAAGTTGTAAAACGCAATTTCTCTCTCCTCCTGACACTTCTTGCCATGTGAACAGTTTGTCACCTGTTTAACAGAAGCCAAAAGTAAACCTGCATTATTTTTTCCAGTTGGCTTCATTCGCCCTTTCCTTAAATTAGGGTCAGTTTAACTTAGCCTGATGAGATATGTGATGTAAATGTATTTGCAGAAATAGAGGCGGGCATCACGCGCCTGGGAATGCGCAAAGCGGATGAACTGGAACGCTACGGTTTCAGAGCCATTGGCTTCATCGCTTTTCTCCTGCCTGTGTCTGCCTCTCCCCATGGCTGACACAGGCAGGAGCACCTGCCAGGGTAAAGTGGTTCTGCCTCGTTGTCCCGCTGTGAGGGCACCCTCCGTTGTGGCAAAAGACCACTGCTGTGTTTTAGGTCACGTAGGAACCAATCTTTGTCTTTGAAAGCAGCAGGGATACACCTGCGGTCACAAAATCAGAGTGGGGAGTCATGGTTCCTCAAAGAAAGCTGGGACCTGCTTCTATGGACCTCTAATCTCCTTCATCCTAGGCTCAGGACATTGAACTCCCATCTTTTTAGTTATGTCAGTTGTACACTAGCTAGTCAGCTGAAATAAAATGTTAACTTCATTACAGCAACCACAGAAATGGATAAAACCAGAGAAATGCAGCACCGCAGCTGGCGTTTGCTGGTTGTTCTTCTGAGAACATGATTGTTGTGTGAAGAAAATTAACTCTGTCTTGATTAAAACCAGCACAAGGGTAAATATATCAGAGGGTAGGCAGGCCAGTCACTGGTTTCAGTTACTAGACGGGTTCTGCTTTTGCAAATTTGTAGCTAAAAAAGTACTCATCCAATTACCATAATTGGATTTGACTGACAGAGCACAAGTGGCTGTTCGTACCCTGTCAGTGCACAGCCCTGTGCTGCCAGCCAGCCTGCCTTCGTTCTGTCCAGCACTGTTGCCTGATTAAACTCTGGAGTTACCCCATTAACGTTTGTGACTGACTCTTCTTTCCTTCAACTTTTTCTCCTAGGAATTCTCCAACTTTCAAATCGTTTGAGGAGAAGGTTGAGACCACTGTCACAAGCCTTAAGGTAAAGGCTGGAGACAGAGTTACATGGATTGCATGCTTAGCTGTTCCTATGGTCTGTACAGGGTAGCGATTGAATTTGCTGTTCCAACAAGCACTTCACAGAAGTGCAAGGAAGCAGAGGCATCTCGTGGGGTGTGAGCACGGCTGCTCACGCTGTGCACGGCAGAGCCAAGGGCAGGTGGGAGGTCAGATTGTGAAAGCGGTGTGGCCTTGTGAGTTTTGCGACGTGCCCTGCCAGACAGGCGCAGCCACGTGCTTTGAGGGGTGAACTTCCCTCCCTGAGCTACGCTCCGGTCAGATCCAGAGGAGCACTCACCACGTGCCCCTTACCCAGCTGGGGGAGCTGCTGTATAACGGGTGTGATTCACGCTACCTGCGTGGCTCTTGGCTCCAAACTCCTCTGTCTCTACTTTCTCACCACTCACAAGCTAGAAGAAACTGCATTGGAAAAGGGCAGTGCTGTTTGTACCCATTCAGTCACTAAACCTACCCTTAAAAGCTTTCAGTGGTACCTCTAGCTCCCAAATTTGCTTCTAGACTCCACAAATGCATTCCTTCTCCAGTTATGTCAAGTCTGTGAGTGGGACAGCGTAAAGCCTTGTGCTTTGCTTTGAGGGCTAAAGGACGAGTCTGAGTGCTGTCCTTTCTGCCTGAGGATGTCTGTTCCCAGTCACCTCTGTGTCATTGAGAAGGAGGAGAAATCAGTTCAAACTGCAGAGCTCTGAAGACCCTTTCTTCTCACAGTGCTCTGCTTGGGGAGCCTGATCTTATTTCGCTGATTAAGCAAAGGGGTTCTTCTGGCGGAGACTGTTTGTCGTGCCAGCCCTTCGCCTGTCGTGTTCAGGGTGCTCAGACCATCCTTTAAGGAATCTTTAGTTAACCAGCTTAACTCAGCGCTGCGCTGCTTTTTCCCTGCCTCTCTGCCGAGGTTTGGAAGATGGGGGCAAGGGAGAAGTCGGAGGCTGTCCTTTCAATTCTAGGATTCTGTTGTGGTCTGAAAAAGTGAACAGCTTCCCCGAGAGACTCCTGACAAAGGAAGAGAACAGCAGTAGTCTTGTCATCTCCCCCCACCTCCCACATTAGCCACAGACCACCACTGGTCCTACAGTGTCCTCTAGTCAGCCAAAACGGATGTTCAGGTTACAGACTTTTAGAAGTCACGTTTCAAATTGGATTTTATTTGCTCTTGCAGTTTGGACTTTGGGTTGCAGCTTTCTCAGGAGAGAGTGTTGGTTCAGCTTTCCCTGGAAATCAACAGAACCTGGGTGCCTGACTCTCTCCGACTTTTCTGAAAATCAGGCACTGACGAATTTAAAGTTTGCGTAAACGCTGGGTGCTGGCCAGGGGCGTTCAGTGAAGTGACTTGCGTCGTTCTTGTTTCCAGATGGAACAGTAGGCAGAAAAACAAACAGCAAATGAAACTGCATCTGAATATTTCTGATTTTGATGTGTCCAGATTCCGATGCACCTTATCTGAGTCATCCGAAATCGTGCAGGAATAGTCTACTTCCACAGTCACTCTGATCAGTCTGAATCAATGTGCTTTTGAGAATTTTAACTGGCAAATAAAAGACATGAGTTTAGCCATGAAAACTGAGTGGTAGCTTTGCTAGGCAGTGGCCACATTTCACTGCAAGTTCGGGCCCACCAACGTTCAGCAATAAAGGTGTTTTGTGTTGCTGTTTGCAGAAGGCAGTGATGGACCGATAACTTCCTGAGAGTCAGCGCAGCCCACTAGTCTTGATACAGATTTTTACCTCTTGAGATGGGGAGCATTTAATAACCGTGACTCAAACTGTCAGAGCAAATATCAAGCCTACCTACTACCTTATTTTATTGAACTTTCAAGCTAGGCAAGCTCCTGTGCTAGCTGATGAAACAAAGGATTATATAGGATTAATCCTTTGGAAACTAAGGACATAAAGTTCATTTAATTAAAATAATCTTCCTAAGCCCTTAGTGGCTGACAGGCTGGGAAAATGCCAGCTTGTCTTTTAAGTCCTGCTGCAGTTCTGGGATGGAGTAAAAAGTTTTGCCCTATTTTCAGGCTTGAATCGATTTCAAGTGGGCCTATCAGCCCAACCACAAGAGAACGTTCTCTTACTGAGGCGACCCAGTCAAAACAGCTTTGGCTCTTCCTCATTTCCTCTTGACCATTTCCAAATGTTTAGGTAAAGCTCTGTCAGGAAAACTCTGTGGCAGAGGTTTAGTCATATTGGTTTTCCTTTTTAATACTTTGCTGAATTTGTAAACACAAGTGAAGCATTTTGAAAGTAGATGACCTGTGAGCACATAGTCATATACATACATGTTCCATTAATGTAATTGGATGCTTCTCTCCCCTCTCCCCCCCCTCCTCAGGCAGTGCCATGGGCAGCTTTATGTGTCGCTGTCGAGGTAGCTAGGAGTACCTAAAGGGAGATGAGGGGCTGCTTTTGTCCTGCGGTTCCACCTCCTGCCGGAAATCCCAGCAGGGTTTATGTATTTTGAGCAGCTGCGTTACCCTTGCTGGCGGATGGGCCACTTGACCGGCAAAGGAACCACTTCCCTTTAATACCCATCTCTTCTTCAGCCTTCCTAAAACTGGAAAATACCAGTGAGCGTGTAAAAGGTCCACACGAAGGTTTACTGGTAGGCTCCAGGATCCTGCCTGGGATCTGCTTTAGGACTGCTCCTTTTAAGTGTACGATAAATGCCACTGGCAGATTTTATGATTGCAGCCTTGAAGTTTAGAAACTGGGAGAGGAAAGGCGCTGCTTTATTTGACTATTTTTATAGCTTCTGTTCTAAGAAAAACCCACCCCCACATGTTCTCTGCTTCAAACAGTTCCCAGCCCTCCGTGGCCATGGGGTGGAATGCAAGTGGGACTTGGTATGGTGTGAGCAGAGGAACTTGCTGTTCTCTTTGTTTGCCTTGTTTCAGACCAAGGTTGGTGGGACAGGCCACACAGGGGGGAACTTTGAGGAAGTTCTCAGCTCTGCGGCCCACGCCAGTGCTCAGAGCTCTCTTGCTGGCACCCGCCTCCCCGAGAGCGAGGAAGAGCTCCAGTGTTAGACCACAGGACCCCCTGCGCCTCGTCTGCCTCTCTTAAGAGACTTGCCCTCACCACCCCACTTGTGCAACAAGTTTTGTCAGCTTCCAAAAACCGCCGCCCCGGCCTTGTGCTGAAGAAACGCTTCCTCTCTCCATCTGGGTTTTAGACGGGCCGTTGTATCGTCAGGCACTTGGCACGCCGTGCATCCCACACCCAGGTCGTTGACTTACAGTGGGCTGAATTCGATGTTAAGTGACCCAACCAGTGCCCGTTTTAACCTAACCTCCCTCCAACAACCTCCCGGTCTCCATTTCTTACTTCTTTGAGTTTACCGTTTCCTCTCCGTCGGTTTCCAACTCCCCTCTCAGTGCCACGTGGGACGGATGGACCGAGGGCTGCGCACAGATCGCTGCTGCCAGCAGTAGCCCCTGTACCAGCTGGCTGCCAGCCATCCCCGGTGCCCTTTGCTCAGGATCTCTTTCCTAACAGAATTAAATCACTTCCTGTCACAACCGTTTTTTTCTCCTTCACGGCTGCGGTCTGGCATTGCCCTCCACCCGTTAGTGAGCAGAGGCAGCCAGAAAGAGACACCTCGTCACTCGCGCACAGACGGAACCGATCCCAGCTGCTGGCTGAAGAGGATCGTCGTTGCCGGAAGAGCTTCCGTCTGAAACCACGTTGTTTCGCGTGCTGCCCGTGGTTTGATAAGGTCTGACGGTGGAAGTTAGTGACAAAGGGAACTGAAGCGGAGGGAGTCCCTAAGAATTAGTTTTGCCTCCATTCCTTCCCCTCAAAGCCGAGGGAAGGTGGATTTACGCGCCTCGGTCAAGGCACAGCCTGAAGCGAAAGAAACACGGCAGTTGGCTTGAGACGTGCCATAGGTTGGAGAGTCCCTGCCTTCCGGCCGCACCTCCGAACAGCCACCGCCAACCCCCTTCCCCGACACACACATGCACAAGGTGAGCAGGTACTTCCGGCGTCCAACTTCGTGCTTTGCTCCGACATGTACCTCCCTTCCCCGACACACACATGCACAAGGCGAGCAGGTACTTCCGGTGTCCAATTTCGTGCTTTGCTCCGAGATGTACCTCCACCAACCGCGTTGTATCAGCCAGCTCGCCGAGAGCCCGCCCTCCCGCAGCTTCGCTTCAGTGTGTTTCCTTGCATCCCTTTACCGCTCTTTGCCAGGAGAAGAACCGCTTGCTGGTGACACCGCCTCGCTGTCTCGTGAGCATGTGTCCGTCTGCATGCTGCGCCACTCTGGTCGCCGGGCTGCGCCGAGCGAACCTCCCTTGGTCAAGCGTCAGGCAGGTGGGAGAGAGTCCGGCTGCTTTCACAGGGGGTGCGCTGGTTTGAGCGTAGGCCGAAGCTTCAAATCCCTGTTAGCGAGCTGAACTTCCACGCTGCTTAGAGCCTTGCCAGGAAACTTGGCGTCACGTGATTTCTTTTTTCCCTCTGTGGCTTTTGTTACTGTTTTTACGGAGTTGGGAGTCCTTTCGTAATGTCCTACTGGACAGAAGTTAACTTTGGACATATTGCTGTCAAATGCCTCTTCAGTGTGATTTTTAGCATGGAAACAGGTAGTTAGGGGGTTTTAGTAGAGTTTTCTTGTGACAGTTTGCTAGCTTTTGTGGGTTTAAACGTGAATTTATTTAAATAAAAAAGATATTTATGGTCAACTTAGTTTGTGTAAATGAAGTTATCGATATTCTTACCAAAAATAAACTTCTCTCTTACTCTTTTACACTTTGTGATGGTTTCTTTTCAATCCGGTGCGCTTCCAGGTGGTCCTGTGCCCCTCTCAGCCTTGCCCCAACTCTGCAGGGCATCATGGGAAAGGGCAGCAACACAGCCTGCCATTCCTACAGATTTTAAAACCCGTCCGGTCCCTTCTGGACCTGCGATTCCCCATGGAAAGCTGCAGCCCAAGGTTTGAAACCGCTGAGGTTCCACGGAGAGACATGCTTGAGCCGAGTTCAGTGACACGCACGGCAGAAAAGGTCGTCTGGGTCCACTGAGCTTGGTCCCAACCAGCTTAAAACGTGGAGGAGGGGATGTTCTCTCATCGCTGCCAGGTCCGGGCCTAGCGCGCATTTCCTGCACGTGAACACCGCACACCTGTACCGCACGGGGAAGCCTGCAGCCCCACCAGCTGTTGCGGAACCTTGCTGGCACCCCACCGTCACGCTTTCCGATGGTGCTGCTGTCTCCGGCCTCCTTCCAACCAAGGCCTCTTTCTGGCCTTGGTTTTCGCACCCAAAACTGACGCGAGTGCCCCTGCAGCGAGTCGGCGGTGATGTAATGCTACACAAAGTACCCGCTGGCCAAACCAAACCCCACACAACGCGTGCTCAAGCCGCATCCCCGTTTCCCAGGACCATATTTACCTGCCTTGCACTGCTGCCCGGGGCTCAACGCCCCATCCCCAGGATCCCCTGCAGAAGGGCCTGGCGCCAGCCAGCAAAGCCTCCTCCTGCCTCGCGTGCACCGACCACTCCTGCTGGGGTAGCACTTGCGCCGCATCTCCATCCAACATCCTTTTCCGGCCACTTCATCAGGCATGTTCCCGGTTCTGCCTTCCAGCACACCCGCAGACTCCCGTGCTTGGCCTCCAGCGCAAACCGACCGCGACTACGGTTTTCATGCGCCTCAGTGGGACGGAACCGCGGGAGCAAGCGCAGCAGGCCCCGTGCCCTCACACCATGGCAGCCAGCCCCACTGACCCCTCTCCTGCGGCTCAGTGAAGCGCAGCTTCTTCTGCCCAGGTTCCCCGGGGCGCAACCACTGCCGGCAGAGAAGCCAGCCCCAGCTCTCCACCCTACCGTTCTTCCAGGTGGGAGCTGTCATTATCTGCTAACAGTGGCCTCCCTCCCGCCGCAGGTGACACAGCAGTTAGTCGCGCAGTCTCTGGCCTCGCCGTGGCACCCACCGTGCCG